AGTAAAGTTGGAAAGTAATGACAACAGAGATGGTGATCCAAATGCTGATTCAAAAATAGCCATTAACTGAGTATGTGTAACTGCAATTATACACATCCATCCCTTATTATCCTTGTCTTTTCCACCACTCCTTTTTTTGCTTTCCTCATCTTGTTTAATTCATAACCCATAAAAGTTGCATACTGTAGACTCATGTGCTCTCCTCTCACTTGTGGAACTTTTTCTTCCTTAACTTGCAGTGGGATCCAGTTCATGTGAACTATGGCTAACATTGAAAAGGCATTACTTCCAAATAATGATTTGGCTGCCTACTCCTTCCAATAGCAGTAGGAGAAAGGACATGTAGAGGTTGTTTTGTAAGTAAATGATATGGTTCTGAGTAGTTGCACATCCTTGAGCTTTAAGGTACAACAACTTGCAAACAAATGCATTAGAAGTTACTAGGCTATTCCTTACCCCTTATAGCCTGCTTACCAACACATTTGCGAACTTAAACTTTTTTTAAATTAAGTTTAGTCAAAAGAAAAGACAAATTCTTAAAATAATGAGATAATGGAATGTTAAGAAATAAAAATACCAAACCAGAGGGACATTGGGTTTCATGGTAGGCATGTCATGAGCAGAGCTGGCCGGAACCGGGGGTCAGATTAGATGACCCAGGACGCACCTTCTAACTTGCTCTGTTTATATGTTTCATGACAGCTAAATCTAAAAATAGGTCCCTGCCTCCAATAAAAAACTATCAATTATTACAGAACGTTGGAAGTGCTGTGACACTCATTGTGCAGTACCAATAAGTGGTTCACAAAAATGCTTTCTTCAGGCTGTGGTGGGTATCTGAAAAAGGAGGTGCTGGAGCTCTGTGCAGCTGCTGCTGTTTGCACCACATTATGGTCAGCATGACCTGAGGAAGTGATATGAGACTGCAGTTGCTGTGGTCTGGATGCTACCCCAGTTGCAACTTACGCCACTTTTGAAGTACAGAGAACAGAGTCTGCTCAAGCACAGTAGGGGGAAAAAGAGCCCAGCACTTGCCTCAGCCTGGGTAGGGGAGAGCCAGCAGAGTGCACCTAAGATTTTTGGACTTTGTGAGATGAGAAAAAGGGCAGGGCAGGCAGTGTCTGTTGGGTGGCTAGTGGGAGGGCAGGTTTGAGGGTGGGATGGTGCATGGGTGCTAGCACTGAGACAGAAGACAGCAAAACCTCTGGACAAAAGGCGTGTTCCCCCTCATGCTGAGGGTCCTCTCCCAGCAGAAGGGAAGTGGAGTTGGGTTGTGTGCAGAATCAAGCTGATGGGGTGAATACGTCTAGTATTGCTGTTAGCTGTTGTTGGAATAATGAACCTTTTAAAATCTGTTTTGTAGCTACTGCAATTTTTCATACCAAAGCATATATATCTGGAGCTATAGACTTTAGAAGTAATTGAGGAGCTTTTCAACTTGGTGTGTGAGGGGACTGTTCCCATTCTATTTTGAAATTTGATTTAATGAAAAGTGTTATAAATAAGCTGCAAGCATGTATTTTTCAGACTAGCAATCTTTTCTGTTTTGTAACATACTTCAGTGTCTGGTTCATCAAGTTTTGAATTCTCACAGATTCGAACCATTCTTAATTGTCCTTGTAGTAGTAGTA